GCCAGGCCCTGGCCAGGGAGCTGGCGCTCTCCAGCCGTGCTTCTCTTTGCCCTGCGCCCTCCGCCGTTGACGCCTGGACCGCTTGGAATGGCAGAAGGCAGCTGATGCCATTGACATTGAAGTTCAATTCAGAAAATAGAAGCATATAAAATAAGCCACCTCAGCCTCTGGGGCCAGAAGTTGCAATGGAGTCTTGTGAGCTGTGAGAAACTTCGAGCATTGAGTTGAGCCGAGCGCAGAAGCGAAAGTTTCAACTCCTTAGACCGATGAACCTGCGGGTTTCCGCGGCAGCGGTGCTCTCGCTAAAGGCGGTTCGAGCCGAGGAGCCGGGCCCGACGGCGGCGGCGAACTTCGGCGACAGCCCTCTGTGACGCGCGGATCGCCGCTGGGCGCGTGCGCGTCGCTCGGCGCGCCGTGGCCGTGGGCTCCGGCTCCGTCGTAGCCATGGCGAGGTCTTTGTCGCTCCCGCTGCGTGCCCCGGCCCCTGCGCGGGGAGCTCCAGTCTCCCTGCTCTCCGCAGGCTCTGCGCTTGCGCCGTTGGCCGGCGGCTTCCTCCGTTCCGGCCGTTCCCTGCATGTGCCCTGCGCTCCTTCCTGACCAGACTGTCGCGTTGCCATGGCTGACGGCTTGACTGCGTTGGAGAAATTCCGTAGGAAAAAGGAAGGGACCGAAGGGACCGAATAGATTGAATAGACAGAAGCTGCAGATGCTAAACTGCTAAACAGGCTCTTGGTCTCCAGGTTTTCGGTTCAAGGTTCACAAGAGGCTAACCGCAGCGAGAAGCGGGCAATCGAGCAGCGGTCCCAGACCTTGGAGACGGGCCCCCCCTTTGCCCAAGCTGAAGCTGCGTGTGAGAACTCGCTGGAGGACCCAGGATGGCTCCAAGCACACGCCGCTCTTCGGGCTCGGCCCTCAGAAGTTTAGCGTCCTGTCTCATCTAATCTCCCTGCTCCCGCTGTCTTCAGGACTTGCAGCTCTTGCAGTGGCGCCCGCCACCTAGCCTTGTCGGCATCCGGCCAGCATGCGGCCAGCATGCTTCAGCTTGTCAGGCTCACTTTGACATCGATTGCCCGGCCCTTCAGACAATGTGACAAAGTCCGAGCGCCTGAAGCCTGCATCGGCCTGCATTGGCCTGTTTGACATTGAGGCACAGACCTTCCTCTGTGGGAGGACGTTGACGAAGTCCTCTTTGCCTTCCTCGACACCACGCCGAGGTGGCGGTGGCTAGAGCGGCTAGAGCGGCCAGAGTCAAGAAAGGTGTGTGGCTGTCGAACGTTGGCACATCTTGCCAGTGAAAGTCTTCGACTTGCCTTTCCTGAACAGCGAGCCGGAGCAGGAAGGGTGGTTGAAGGCTGAACATGTGTCTGAATCTGTCCTATATCGGCAATTGCGCTTCTTCACAATCTAGGTTAGTACGTTCCGCAGGACCCAGCAGAAACCGGCACTAGGTCCGCGCGGCAGGCGCGCAGCGAGTTGGAGTCTGCGCCTTCTCTTACAGATGAGTCCTGCGTAGGCCGACGAGGACTCCGCGCGGGCCAGAGGCTTTGACAGAAAGGAGAAAGGGACGGTCCCTTTCTCCGCTGAGCCGCACTTTCACTCATCTCGGCTAAAACTTAAAACTTGGTTCGAGGTGGTGGAGGTGTCCATGCCCCTGGGCGTGGACTTCGAAGAGCGCAGCGGCGGGGACATCTACGTCAAGGCCGGGACATATAGGGCGCGCCAGAGCGACGAGAGCGCCAGAAATCCCGTGAAAAGGACCAGACGCACTAGCAGTTGAACCAATTTGGGGGCCTGCTCGTATAACGGCGACCGAACATGCGGAGAAGCAGTGCCGTTAAGGGGCTGAGTGTGGCCTTTCTAGACGCGCGTCTATTTTGCGCGGCCGCCGCCGGGCGCTCTCTGATTTGCTGGGCTTCTCTGTAAATTTGTAAGTCCTATATAGAGTTCTGGGAAAGGTCAGCTTCGAAGCTCGCAGGAAGTGGAGAAGTCCAGCGACGCTTGGGCTCAAGGAGTCGGGCCGCCAAGCGTCGCTCGAAGCTCTCCGTGCTCGCAGCATCGCTTGCAGCATCGCTCGCAGCATCGCTTGCATCGCTTGGGCAGGTTCGCCCCGGGGCTCAATTGGTGCCTCGGCCGCCTTACGGCCGCCGCCGCGTCATTGACCCCCTCTCTCCGCTCCCGGGCCCTCCCCCGGCCCCCCGCCTTGGTAGGTGATGATCAGCGCCACCTTCGGGGATGAGATGTGGAACACGCAGGGCGTCGGCATGACGCAGGAGACGAGGGCTCTGCGAGTGCTCTGCGCCCTTGAATCTTGAAGCCTTCAACCTTCCCGTTTTTTACAGTTTCTCACGGTGCTCAACTCTCGCTTTGGCTCCAACATGAAGTTGGCTTTGGCCAAGGAAGATCAGGACTTGGGAGCATGACAAGTGTGTGCCTGCACGAGATGCGATATGTTTTTGAGGTCTCAAAGGAGCCTCGGATGGGTCTCAGTGTAGATGGCGTGGTGCCTGCTCCTGGCAGAACGTGCTCTCCGCTTTCTTGGATGCCTTCAAGGGCTCACCTGGCGAGAACCAGAGCCAGAGCCCCAGGGCCCATCGAAGGCGCATGGCAATCGTTCATCGTCGTCGCCTTCATCGAATGTGCGTACACACACACACATATTATGTGATAAGCAGAAATTGAGGAAACTCCAACACCGCGCAAGAGTCACAGTCCACGGCAGCCGCGTGAGTCACTCACTCCGCAACTTCCATACAGCACTCACGCGCAGGAACCCGCAGGAAACGAAAACAGAGCAAATCTGACACCATTGAAAAACTGAACTTCCATGAAACTTCAATGCAGCCAGGCCCGGGGAGCCAAGAACCACAAACCAAGATGTCCATCCAGACCTTTTCAGATGCTGATGTCAATGCCTGCAATTGCAACCCTCGCCGTGCAAAGCTCCGCCTGAGCCGCTCCATCTCAGCTACTGCCAGCACATCCGTCGCAAGCTCCGCTCACCCAGAGGTCCACTGTGACGACCCTGCAGTGGCACACGAACTGAAGACCACATGTCATAACACCCACCACATCCTTCGCAAGTTCGCCACGAGGGCCTATCGCTTCATGTTTAGAACCCACTGCAGAGGCCGGTCCCATAGTACAGAGCAGCCGATACTCAGTTACCCTGCCTCTCAACCGTTACCTTCCACTTTGTGCTGCGGTTGATGCTATCATAGAGGCGGACGACGCTGCCACAACGGAAAAGGGCAATCAGAAGAAACGCAAAGCGGAAGAAGCATTGCAGAAGGAAGGCAGTTGCGTTTTCTCAATGACTGTGTGAGAGAGAGATCGCATGTTCCGACCTGTGACTTCCCTGTAAACAGACAGCGAAGCTGATGACGATGAGGAGGGATACAGCACAGGATTCGAGACAGGGGGGAGAATCCGCTGCATCCAGTACAAATGTGGACCCAAAAAGGCTAAAGCGCACGGATTCCGCATTCAAGATCGCAAGAACGCCATCAAACAACGCTGGTACGCGAAATCATCGGGCGATAAGCCGAAATGGCTCACGTGGCGTCAAGCCGATCGGTATGTCACGGCCAACGTCAAGCTGTTTCGGGATAATGTTAAGCATTCTGTCACAGGAACATGCACCTTTCAGGTACAGTTGCAAATGCCAGGAACGGGCCGCTCACTAAGGCTCGAACCTACCGACGAGGCAAGGACCGCGTCAAGGAAAAGTGTGAGAGACTGCGCTTTAGGAACTAGTCAAGGAACGCTCCGTTTTCTAACATGGTAGCGGAGCACTCTGAAGGAAGTGCGATGAACTGGAACTAACTACGGCCATAGCTGCCGCCATGGGAATTGCCCTCATCGGGAAGTACATCTGGGAAGTGGTTTCGAGTAGGAACCAAGTGAGAAGGAAATCCACCATCGGGAATGTGATGGTCACAAGCAAAGCTGGGAAGAAGTACCACAAGAAAGGTTGTACGCACTTGTACCTTTCAGGAAAAGAGAGAGAGAGAACATCGTCTTTGAGCCCTGCAGTGATTGCCGTGCAGGAGACGTGAACGTGTATGGCCCTGGACCTCAGGACTACACCGCATGCCGCTGGACATGTTGTCTGGCGATGTTGATCTGTGTGATGGTGTTCGAGATTGGCGT